TCGGTGAATAAAGTTAATTAACTGGTATCTCGAAATACAAATAACGTTGTCTCTCCCTTCTCCTCTACTCCAAGCGCCTCGCTAATGAGCTAAATTAGATCCCTATCAGAGTCCTAAGGAAATCCTGATTACCGCAATTACATAGAACAATTCATACCCAACAATTATGGTCCTTCTACCGAAACTTTGGTCTAATGGCTGTCCATGTATCGTTTTATATGATAAGGCCGTAATTGATTATCAGCTTCCCTGTGAATATCCAATTCCTGCTTCGAGAGCTACGGAGGGAGTTCCAAAGAGGACTATGAGAATTGAAATCTCCTGAAACAATTGTTCGATTTTCAATGATTAGTTCCCATGGAATATCTGTAGATACCCATCTTTGTCCTTCTTTATCTCCCATTCAGTTGTGACCTCTTCCTACTTTTTCAATGTAGAAATTTTGAAGTCTTATTTTTCCAACTTTTTGTTTGGGTGAGCCGAGTTCCCACACATCTACAACCAGAATATATAGATTACTGTAGAGATCTGTCCGATTCTCTACCGCAACCTATCCGTCCAGTCCTCTTTTGATTCCAACCACTACCCGCTAGCATCCCATATTACCAACAGTGCTCCAGTGAATTTTATACGCTGGATGAGACACACCTCCTACACCGATATATGGCTCTTGAATACACAAAATCTCCACTCCTGTATCAAAACCTGCCTGAAAGGTGGCCTGACACACGGCGAATGTGTGTTGATAATTTTGTTGTACTTTTTGCATAAAATAGGATCAGAACCAGCCGTAACATTTTGGAGATCTTCTCTCTCCACACCATTCATGAGACTATCCTCATCGCTAATTTCGGTTTCCTCTCGGTCTTCATTTTGCATTAGCTCTTCTAGTTCCTCGTGAACCTCTCCAGGTACCGGCTCATCGGCCTGCACAGTCTCTTCCCGGGCTTTCTCTCTCTCCTTCTACTCTTGCCTATATCCCCGAACAATCGCAACTGCTTCCCGGTCATGGCGGCAACAAGGCGATGACGCTAGATATCTTTCTCCACAGTTTGCGCACATCAATGTAAGATGAATGCACGATCTTTCTTTTCCTGTGTTGCATCCTGTGATAGCGTAGCAGTGTTTATGTTGGAAATGGAGACACGGAGTGTTGTGGACGTATGGGCCCTCCATTTCGTCTAGGTTCCCGACACGATCTTGTGTGTATGTAAGAGGTTGGAATAGGTAATGTGTGAGCTGGCTCACAAAATGTTATGTACAAGGGTCGAGTTGAGATCTTTCCTTATAGGGAATAGCGTTTAGCTAAAGGCAATAATGTATTTATAGAATTCCTCCCGACAGGGAGAAGAAATAGGAATGAATTGAGTAACCCCGCACAAGCTTGTGAATTGACCATTGGTAGTGTTCCGACAGGTAACATGGTAGCGCTTCAGGCTAACTATTGGAGACATGAGCGGCTGTATGGCGTGGGCGCAAGGAGGTTATTGGGGGTTTTCTATGCCTAGATGACGCCACACTCGTTTACGCTGTAGCTTAGGCTATGTGTCGCTTACACTTGTACTTGTTGCGCACATCTCCCACGCTTTTAGCTTTAATCCGAACATGACACTCTTTTAGTCAACTTCTACTTTCGTTCCATCAATATTGCGTCCATTTCATTGCGCGATATTTCCATCAGTTTATTCGTCTAATGCTGTTCTGCACGAAGCTCGCATTATTTATTATGCGGGCTGGGACAGTTATAAGCCGTGTGACTTCAGTGGCAGTATATAGGGCACATGCTATCCGGCCAAATCCAAAGGAACGGTTCAACTCGGTGACAAAATTCCCCAAACCATGCTCCTTTAGACAATAGGCGGTTAGCTTCTTCTATTTTTCTGAAAATTACCTTGATAAACGATTATTTCTCCTCCGATGAGCGAATGATCTCTGCAAAACTTCCAGGCGATAAAATCCAGCGCGCGGTAATTGGAAGATCCAATTTGTAGGGTCCTGTCGTCGGATCAATTGGTGTTGGTATACAGCAGAGCAAGTCCAGTGTAAAATTAGTTAATTAACGAAGTCTAGAGACGAAAGATCTTCTACATCTTGCTATTTACACAAGGGAATTGAATTAACGACGCCGATCATAACAGTCTCTGTTGCTTAGCAACCGTTCCCAATCTACACCCTTGGTAGTCTCTATAGCTGACTAAACCCTAGATTCCATCTCTACCGTACTGGCGCAGACAGTAAACACTGTTAAAGTTATGAGCTTGAGCGAAGATGTAGGTTGTAGCGGAATCAGTGTTGGCGGTTAGACCGATGCAGTAAGTCTCGTATGAGGTTGTGAGAGGAAGATCCGAGTGGAAACAATTGTATTTAGATGTATGGTTCAGAGTAAAAACCGAGATGATAAGAGTGAGATTGCGTGTTTGCATATCTTACCAACTGTGGTTTTTGACCAGTATTTATCAATCTCCATGGATCGTAAGTTATGATCCATGTAGATGTAGATCTATGTACATACATATATATGGGCCAGGAATATAAAGCTAAATACATGTGTATCGGTAGTAGATACGAGAAAACTATAACCTGCATTTAAGACACAGTCATCCGCTGGAATGCTAGTATGAAATAAACGCTAATGCGCACTAAACTTTCGGTAAAGGATGTATTGATAACAGTGATATAGAATAGGGAATTTGATAGTTAAATCAGCCGGACTTACTAATAAGTTATTCTTGGCATTCCAAGATATATCAAATTCCAACAAACACACAAGGAATTATTCCCGTAACAGGTCCTGCCAGTAATTCACGACGGACCTGTTCCAGTCCATTCTCTCGTTCATGGTGGTATCTTTCCAGCTCCACGGTATGAACCGTGAGAGATGTCCATTCAAGTTCTTGAACTACTTCTCGGATGTCTCGATCAAGTTCTAGCGCTGTTTTTAGTAAAAGATCTTTGCAGTTGGGTAAAAGTAAATCAGCTGTGGCATTTTCCGGTACCAGACCTGCGAGGTTTCTTACGCTGTTATAACCCAACTTCAGAAATCGTAAATGGGCTGGTATTCTTTCACTCTAAAGGACTTTGTTCAGTCTACATAAAATATCTATGGCCATTACTTGGGCCAATGGGACAACGTTTGGGCGGCGACGGAATCTAATCCGGCGTTCTCGTTCAGACCTGGGTGTTATTAGAGTTGCGGGAAGGTTGTCTGAAGCCTGTGACCTCTGTAGCCTTTTCTTTGATGATTTAACCTCTGTCCAAGGTTTCTCTGGGTTTGCAGAGGCCATTTGGATGTATGTTTTTGCTTTCATCGCCGGGATAGTTGTACGGCTGGCTGGCGCTGGTGGCTGAGCGGATGGCATATCACGAGATTGTGAGATTCCTACAGAGGGAGGAGGACGATTCGATAACGATGCTGGGTGACTGTTTACTGAACCATCTGTCAGATTTAAATTAGCTGCACTTGTGCTCGGTCCTAGGCTGTGTAGGTCAGGTGGCCGGACGCTGCGCCAAAAAGTTGATTCGCATTTCTGTGCAAAGACTTTTCATTTCCTGACGTAGGCTCTCTATCTCGTTTTTTAAATCTTCGTTTTCTGCTTTAAGAACTCCCAAGAAATTCCCTAATTCGTTTTCCAGCTCTGGACGGCTGGGCGGCTTAAATAGAGGTAAATGACTAGACGGAGGTGTGAACGGTAGAAGCGGGTGATTGCTAGCTAGAGGTGAAGGAAATGCTCCAGTATTTTTCTACGGGCCTCTCCATGGCGGTAGTGATTGGCTTGCTTGCTTCATACTCACGGTTGTCTCTTTTGGGTCATCAATATGTTCGTGGGGGGGGGGGGGTGAGGCGACGGAGGGGGATTCTCCATTGTCGTGGTAGTGAGGCTAAACACTGAGCCTCTCAACCACGGTCAAAGAGAAACGTTAATAACTGGTAGAGATGGGGCTGAAGGTGTTAAATGGTGTAAAATATTAAACAAAGCAAATGCGAAGTCTTCAAATCCCGTTGATCTCAAGATAATCCAAAATTTCGAATTGTGCAGTTTTTTGATGTTTTTACATACCAATTTCAAATTAACTAGTAACAAGTAACTGAGTAAATTTTATCTCCCCGTCTACTTTGTAATATGATATGGTGCTGAACTCCAGTAGTTAATTGTAGTGGCGACCATGTTAAGCTATGCTGTTGCCGTGTAAATATACGATAACTACGTAGATAGGTAGAAAAATACTTGTAGCAGCTGAGATCATCAGATCGCAACATCTATGAAGTAGAATATATGGCTTACGGGACTCTTCAAAATCATGATTTGAATTGTTCTTCTCCTCTGGTCAGAATACTACAGTCATTATCTATTTTGCCCACATTTTTTCCCCTCCTATCTTCTATTGTGAAGTTCGATCATCATTTCTACATCTGGAACACGGCTGATTCTATTTCCTCTAAATCTCGCCATAACAATAGGCTTATTTCTAGATTAAAAGGTCACAAATTTATGCGTGTATTGATCTATGGTCAATTTTAATTCCAAAGAATAACTCCCCAATACTTTCAAACACTATTGGAATACTGGTTTCAACTTGACCTCTATACATGAAGTCTTCAAAATTGTTGACTCACCATATCAGTTGAGGATGTGGGGGATATAAAATTTTCCGTGAAAATGGTCCACATTGTTAATCCGTTAACATACTTGTATGCAGGTGCTCCCTAGCTCTTATATAAACAGCCGTATCATTATCGCACAGTTTCAACGCAAACCGGATAACTGGTGGCTCACCACTCTAATAATTATTATTATTTCATACGGAAGTCTAGTGTATATATAGATATTGTCTAAATTACAATCGAAGAGAAGTGGTAATTTGTTCATTATTCAAATTCTCACCTTCAGTATCAATCACTTCGGTTTCGGTCCCCTCATAGACACCGTTTTCCGCCTCTTTTTATACAGAGCCCTTACTTGCGGACCCGAGTTTACCCTTTCTGATACTGCTGCTACAGCTCAAGCACTCTTCTGAGTTAAAGGTGTTGCGTCAGTGTCTTCTTTATCGGCTTCATCATCTTTGGTTGCAGATCCGATCTTCTCAAGCTCTGCAATGGCTGCTTCTGCCGCTGCGTCATCTTCGGCACTCTTCTTGGTCAAAGGGGTGGCAGCGGCGTCTTCTTTATCGGCTTCATCATCTTTGGTTGCAGATCCGATCTTCTCAAGCTCTGCAATGGCTGCTGATGCTGCTGCGTCATCTTCGGCGTTTCTCTTGGCTAGAGCTCGGGCAAAATGACGCTTGGATAAGTTGTACTCAATAGCACGCTTCTTGGCAGCCGGGCTTTGTGTCACTGCTACCGATCCTCCAAATGGGCCAGCTGCTGCTGCATTTTGCATGCGAACAATGCATACGTTCTGAGCGTCGCCTACTGTTCCAGAGCACGTCATTCCCGCTGGCATCTGTACTTCTACCGGGAAGTCCATCACGGCCGCAGCTGACAGTCCTCCTATACCGATTCCCGGCACATTTTGTGTGACTTGGGCCGATTTGAATGCTGCTGGATCAGTTCCACCCGAAGTGGCGTCAACCATGGCCGTCAAGGGCCCGGCTCCGTCTTGGTTGACCTGATGATAGGTCATCTTGACCTTGCCATCGTCTGAACAAGTTGGCATACCACTGGCTGCTCCAGCTCCAGCTGCAGCCTTGACACCAGTCTCCAAGGTGCCCTTAGGAGTCTTGGTTCCTCCGTTGGCTGCACGCTCTCCAAGACTTCGACGAAGGACGTTGGCAGCGTGAACTTCCCGTGCTTCCTTTGTCGCCGTAGCATTGCCTCCGCCTCCCATGAACATGGCCATCATCTTGCTGGCGTCGACGGGACCACCACCCTGGGTACGGCCAAGTGCGGTGGCCTTGTTGGAGCCCATCTCACGTTGGCGAATGATGGAAGTGTCAGCCTCTGACCCACATCGAGGACTGGCGCAATCACGCGGTGTGCCGTCGGCAACTATGATCGACATGTTAAACGAGTCTCAGGGAATATGACAGATGATGGGTGACAAGGATGAAGATGGATCACATACCTGAAAGACCTGGCATGGTAACTCCATTAGCACCTTCGACGGAATCAAGAACTCCGTGCGTGAAGACACTGGTTACTGCGAAAGCAGCGATAAGAATAGCGGATGAGTACTGCATATTGTTGATCTTTGCGTTTGATGGAATAAGCTGACTTAATTTGTTTAGTTTCTTGTTCACTTGGTCCGCTAGGTCTGGAAATTGAAGTTGTTTTGATTAGTAGTTATTAAGTATTTTGTTTGTTTTGTGTTGGTATTAAAAGCACCGGGCCGGAAAATAAGAAGAATACTAAAGGAATAAAACCTGAAATCGAACTGAAATGTGAATGATTATGATATCTAGGGCTTCTCTAAGCCGTTCTTATATGACAAGAGTTGGAGTTTGATGGTTACAGGTCAAAGGCTCTTCCTGGTATTTCTTTCGAGCATCCTAGTGTGTAATTCTCAAGCCATAATCTCGACGCAAAACAAATCATGAAGCATCACCAAAAGACGTGTGCGATAACAGCTAGCATGATGGCGTGTTGCTCGTGTCATGAAGTACGTTGTGAAATAGGCCAAGAGAAGACAGTGATGATGCACAAGATCAAACTAATGCAGAAGGAGAATGGGAAAGAGGATATGCGAGTTACATTCATGACTGTTGGTTCAAAAGATTCACGGCATGCGAGGAGTAAGGGGGTATGATGTAAATGTAGGGAGTCTTGAACCTTCGACTTGTGAGGAATGAAGAGAACTCGAAATGTGTAACGGTTTGATCATGGCTTTGTAGGGCTGGATTCCTAGTCGGAGTCATGGGCGCAAAAGGGATCGTGCGCTATACAGCCCCGTACCCGGCGCCCTAACGGCACTGCGTCACACCAATTTAGCGCGGATAATGAATGCCTAGCGGCGGAGTACAGCGGCCTCTAGGAAAGGCCGAGTTTGTTTGTTTGGTGGGACAACAGAGGGCAGAGACGAGTAAAATTATTAAGCTAATCAATTGAATATGAACAGGTTTGACTGAAGAGTAAGTATGGATAGTCATTACCCGTGGGGATGTTAGTACTCTGTTCGCATATTGATCCCATGTCGATATTATAATCAGATGAGTTTCGTCAATTGCAAAGTAAGCTTGAAGGCTTCAGGTCAACGTTTGACGATGTTGAAACACATATATTTTACGGGTGCTAAGTTTAAGTATGTTCATCGAGAGCTCTTCAGAAGTATTCCAGCCCCAGCAAATCCTATTTCTTTTAGGCACGCGATTTGAGTATGCTCCATAAATCACATCCATCAATTTTCTTCATGTGTGCTTCACACGAGAGATTCATCAATTTAGAATTAAATGAGACGAGATGAGATGAAAATACGATACAGTTTCTTATTCTAGGAGATGAAATTGATTTATATCTGTAAAACTTAGAGAGGTCTTCGTGTGAGTGTCATGTGAATCGTCAAAAGATGAAAGCGAATACAAGAATGAATTGATTAATTGTCTCCGTGCTACGAGTCCATCGTAGCACTATAATATCTAGTTCTACCCTATTGATGCCCCTGATCATCATTACTAGTCTGACATGCCTGCACGCAGATCGTGCTTTCGCTTTTGGACTGGATCCAGACTTATGCAAGCACAAGTCTGCTTACAATATCGATAAATTAAGAAGAGATGGTGGGGCTAATCTAGAAAAGCTCGAAGACAGATGGGTCAGCGATAGAAAATCTAGGTAAAACAGAAATATTTACTTTCCATACATATACCTCGGCGTATTTCTGAGCCGTTTGATCGGTGAAGTGGCTAATTATTATAATGAAGGAGAATCAACTGGGGGCAAACGTGCGGCTAAGATGTGGACAACTCCTTTGAATCCTCAAGTTCCGAGGTCCTTGAAAAGCTCGAGGTTACTGGTGAGATATATAAGAGAATTTTTCCCGCGCAGTAGTCACAATTGCTATTTTAATGACTTTATATGGGCTGGAGGTTTTGTAGAAAAGAAGGCGGAGTTTTACGGGCTACTACGGAACTAAATGACTATCCACAATGGGCATTATCAGACATAATCTTTTGTAACAAAAGAAAATAGGGGCGCTATATAAGATCCAACCTGTATCAGAGAGGGGCCTAATGTACTATATAGTCATTGAATCTAACCGCGTAATAAAACTAAATCATGATTCAACTATCCTTCTGTCCGGCTCTGCCTGATTAATATTCATGCACCATCGGATCTTTTACACCTCCGAAGACATCTATCTCGCCGTGAGATTACCGTAAGAGGGAGATTCAAACTGAGCCTAGATATTCTTCTCTGTAAGGCCAATTGGGGGTAGAAAGGGTTCGTTGGAGCAGCAGAGGCGTGTTTGTTGCTGACAAAACCCGCACTTGTCCGGGTTTCTTCAACAAACTGTTGTAATTAAAGTTTGGTAGAGAAGCTTAAGGTGTTAGAATTTTATTTAATATTACCTAGTGAAGCGAGTTGGGATGTGAATGTGAATGTGTTTTTGTTTACTGTCTTATAAAGTCTATGACTTAGCGAGTTGGGAGATTAAAGAGTCTGAAAACTATAGTGGAGAGTTGTTGATTAAACCTACTTTGTATCAAAGCGCTATTTAAAATAAATACTACAACCAAGTAGAGGACAAAATTCACTTGTTTATGGCGGATAATTTGGAGGCTGGTCAATGTATGAGTTGCCATGAATGTGACTGGTACTAAAAGAACCTTATTACATTCCATGTTATTGTGACTCTTCATTGCCAAGTAGCGCCAGCTTCAACACCAACAACTTCCCCGGCCGTTGTACTTTGGCCGCTTAACCTTCTGTCCTTGTTTACTGTAATCCTAAGAAAGAGAATTCTTTGTGGAGTTCTAAGGTCCAACGTATCTGAGAGTAAACTGTGTTTGTTGTTGTGTGTTGCCCATGGAGATTTGCTGAATGGTGTAAACGTTATTGGCTTAATCTCGTATTATAACTATATCACTAAAGTTCTCTTCCTAAGTACAACCAGTAAGACCGCTCTTCTTAGGTATATGTACGCACAGATCACCTTCAATGACCGCATAACTAGAGCTGACTATACTTAAATATAAAGCCGCTCACAAGTTGGTATATATTTGATTGAAATATTCTACATGCTAGCACCACAGACAGATCTGACTTAAGTGCTAGTCGTATCAGACATGCTTCCTGGGGACACACTACAACACAAATACATGGTTTGCTTGTCAAATCTTTATGTAGAAAATGTTTAACTATAAGATTGTTGGTCAAACACAATCCTCCCTGTGCCTTAACATAATGGAGTTATGGTTGTGATTAGTGTTTACCTAAGAGTAAAATAGATAAGGCGTTTGGAGATCTTACAAACCCTGTATTAGTAGTTTCATATTAGCGTGTAGGCGAGGCTGGTAGACACATAATAGTAGGAGCACAGTCGCAGCAATTTCATGTAATGCTGACACCACCGAATGGACGGGAGATGCTGGCAGAAAAGGGAGGGGGTAAATTTCTCCAGTTCTTAACAGTAACTAAGTGTTACGGGATGCAGAGCGGAAACCGGGAGGATTAAGTCCTGCCAGAGGAAATTTTCCACAGGACTAAGGGCCACGAGGAAGGAGAAAAGGCGCAGGGCGTTTTTTTTTCGAAATTTAATTAATTATCTATGTTTTCTACAAATAGTTTCTGAGAAGCAAACTATGTACCTAGGTTGTAGTGTGGCCCCAGGGAGCACAGACCCGTATCACGCCTATTGGGTGTAGGGCACAAGCCTGAAACGTAATATATTCAATTCAATTCAATTCATGTAATGCTGAGCGAGCAGAGTAATATACACGTTCTGTTAACCCTATACTTTATTAATTCTACTTCCAGTACTACTGTATTACCCGCCTAGAGGAATCATATTCTAATAGAAAACATAATTTCAATTCGGAATCTTTTACGAGACAGGAAGAATCCAACAACAATTTAGAAGTGACACGAGTAGATAGGCTCTGAGAGCTCATTGCTACCTACATGACCGGCAGTGAGGAGGGCAAGACTGAACACCTGTATGCGTTATCCTCTACGAACCTGAGAGTGAAATATTCTCCCAGAACTAAGTTCAGTCAAATTTCGCAATATCAAAGAAGTTGGCCCATGAGGCAAAAATTTAAATTACTCCTCCACGTCGTTTTTTCGCTCCCAACGAGTTTGACTCCTACCCAAGTCTCATCAAGCCTACAAGTACGACCTAGTATATCCTCATCCCTATGATCACACCTCTCTCCGACCTTCTCTGGCCTATGTTGACCACCAAATACACGCCCACGCCGATATTTATACCCGACGGAGGAAGCAAAGCGTGGCGCACAATTCTGGGAGACAGTTCTTTTAGATGGACGTGAGAGAGATTAGTACAAGTTTATAAGATAATACAGAGGATGGATACAATCTCGACGGGAGTGTGATTTTGAATTTTGGCAAGGAGTTTCACGAATTGAGCTATGTGCGCGCCAAGACTTCGATTGCGAGAGTGCAGCTCACACTATAAAAACAAGCAAACGATGGAAGGTGTTGTGGTCTGCCTCCTGGTGATGTTCTCTGGTATAGTTTGAGTAGCCTGGGCACCTACCCCACTTGGGAAGGAGACGCCTCAGACGATATTTCGCGCGGAGAAAGTTGAAAGATGATGGAGGCATGTCTGGATAACTCAGGTTTTTTGAGACATTCCCCTGGGTGGGTATTCACGGATGAGGGTTGACTTGGGGTGAAGAAAAAGCCACCAGAACTTCGCAGTGGTACTTGCAAATGAAATCCGAGGCATGAGTGCTCTTCACTTGCGTTGAATCATCTATTCTGTACTTTTCTTTGATATTGTGTCACAGCTAGATAGCCGCATACGTAATTAAAATCTGCTGCAAAAAAAAAACAAGTTTAATTATAGTTTCAGCTGTGTTAGTTACAATCAAGTGCACGGACATTTCAACATTGTACATTGGATAAAGCCAGCTATTTTAGGTATAGTCTTCAATATACAGCAAGCAGACGTCGAGGTTATCATTTTCTGCGTACAAAGCCAGGAAGAGCTTCAACATATTTACCATCATAAGTTAGTAATCACAATAGAGGGTGACCCCCCGGTGCTGTTATGTACGCT